TAGGGGGCATATCATTTTGAATAATAGCGCTACACTCAGCAGTAAGTGTAACTGTTCTGTTGTCTTCTATCTTTTTCTTGTTAGATAGGATTTCCTTGAGAAATTTAGCATACGAGGGCATCTGAGTGATAGCTTCTGTAAACAGTATTGTGATATTCAGTTGTTTCAAAAGTTCAACGAATTTCTTGAATTGGCCCATCATTTTGGAATTGCTAAGTCTCTGAGGGTACGAAATCGGCGGTTTATAGGGTGGTGGAGGTAGGGGTGTTCAAAACCAAACCAGCCCAATAGAAAACCGAAAAACTGAACCGAACCAAACCGAAACCGCAAAAAACCGCATTTGGTTCGGATGTGTTTGGGTCATTTTCTCGCGGAACCGCACGGTTCGGTTCGATTTGCGGTTTGTATTTTACAAACCAAACCAAACCAAACAAAACCGTATTATGTTATAAAATCTTACTAACCAATATATATTTCTTTAATTCTCTAGAGAAATAAACATGTATTATGTGTATATTTTATCATACTTTGTATTATATTCATTTTAATTTACAAATCATTAAAAAAAAATTATTCATTTATAAATACTATTTTCACAAAATATATTTTATCGTATTCTTTGCATAATATTTATTTAAGAATGCAATCTTGTTTATATCATTATTTAGATTTTGATAAAATTATAATACGCAATTTTATGTATCAAATTATAAACTTATTTTGTCAATTATAAAATTTTATGGTAATGTACGAACAATTAAACACAAAATTATATTTTCCTCTATATTTGTTTGTATGACTTAATAATTTTTTTTGTAAAAAACCGAACCAACCAAACCAATCCAAACCGCATTAGTTTGGTTTGGTTTGGTTCGGATTTATTTTTAAAAGCCAACCGAACCAGACTGAACCGCATGTTTTTTTCTCTTGTGGTTCGGATGATTTTTTGCTTCAAAACCGCCCAAACCGTACCGCGAACACCCATAGGTGGAGGCACATAAGGCTTCTCTTTCTCCACTGCCTCTTGGTTTTCATTTTCCTTTTCCTCTGGTTCATTCTCATTTTTAGTTGGCTTGTTATGCTTTTGGTACATGGCTGGATTTTTGAGTCTTGGATCAACAGGTCCGTCAAGTTCTTTTCCACTTCTCAGTATCACAGCGTTAGCATGTCCTTTTGGGTTAGGTTGCGGTTGACCAGGGAAAATTCCAGCTGGGGCAGCAGTAGGTGCTTGTTGTTGAGCTACCTGTGAAATTTGAGTTTCAAGCATCTTATTATGGGTAGCTAAAGCGTCAACTTTACTAGATAATTGTTTAATCTGCTCATTAGTATGTAAATTCTGATTTAGAACATCTTTATTAGTCTGAGATTGAGAAGCAATAAAGTGTTCTATCATGATTTCAAGATTAGATTTTCTAGGGACATTGGATGTATTAGGTCCATTATTAGGGTGATTTGGGATAGCTTTTGGATAGCCAGGTGGCGTCGCAGGAGCTTGTCCAGGTGCATACAATGCATTGTTGCTTCTATACAAAAAATTCGGATGATTCTTCCAACCAGGGTTATAGATATTACTATAAGGGTTTCCTTGTACGTAATTCGCTTGTTCAGCTGGAACTCCTGTTAGAAGTGGGCATTCTGGAGCAGGATGTGATTAAAGACCATATAGATCACAAGTTTGAGCTACTGCAGCTACGGTAGCTGCGGGAGCGGTGGTAAGATTTTCTAGCTTTTGGGTAAGGGCTTCCACTTTAGCGTTGACTTGGTCCAGACTATTCAATTCAACCATGCCACCTTTTGTTTTAGTTTTTTTCCATATTAACTCTTTCGCTTCCCCATTGATAATGGTTCTGAGCCATGCTCTCGATAAGTTGATTTGCTTCGCTATACGGTTTATCCATCAATGCGCCACCAGCAGCAGCGTCTATAGTCAATCTTGTGTTGTACAAGAGACCGTTATAGAACATATGAATGATCAGCCATTCTTCTAAACCATGATGAGGATAGAGTCTAATCATGTCCTTATAGCGTTACCATGCTTCTAAAAGTGATTTGTTATCTTTTTGTCTGAAACCATTGATGTTGGCTCTGAGCATAGCAATTTTGCTTGGTGGAAAATATCTAGCCAAAAAGACCTTCTTCAACTCATCCCATATGGTGATTGAGTTTGAAGGAAGAGATTAGAGCCATGCTCGAGCTCTGTCTCGTAAAGAAAAAGGAAATAGGCGCAATCGTATCGCCTCAGGGTTTACACCATTCGCTTTTACAGTTTCTGCATACTGCATAAACACTGACAGATGCAGGTTTGGGTCGTCAGTAGGAGATCCAGAAAATTGGTTCTGCTGAACGGCGGATAGAAGCGAAGGTTTCAGCCCAAAATCATTTCAAGCGATAGCAGGAGTGAAAATGCTGTTGTGAGGTTCCGCTTGAGAAGGAACTGCGTAATCCTTAAGAGGACGAGGTGGAGTTGGTGCATCAGCCATCTTCAATTCTTCAATTAACTCAGGGATTAAGATATCAGGAAGCTTAGTCGGAGGAAGATTGTTGAGATCACGGTATTCTTGAATTCGGCGTCTTACTCTGAGATAGCGCTTGATATTGTTGATTTGTAGTTGCAAAGGATCGCTTCGGGAGCGAGTATTTGGCATACAACAGAGGGGAAAATAAATATTTGCCTTAGTCTATACAGTTCTACTTTATGAGTGCACTAGTGACTAAATCAAATTCCCCGACAACGGCGCCAAAAACTTGATGTGCGATCGACCTAATGTGTCTAACGGTATCTTAACTGCAAGTGCACAGCCTATCGCGGTAGTAATAAAAAGATGTCGAACCCACAGGGACTTTGTAATCACTCTAGTGCTATAAAGGTTTGCTATTTTAGCTAAGGCGGATGTTGAAACGTTTGGTTTTTAGAAGTTAAAGTAGAGGAAAACTAAATCAGACTAAGGAAATAATAATAATAAAGCGGTCGGTATGTAATATAGTGAACCTAAGCGGATTTAGTCGAACCTAAGCATATAAAGATGTTTAACTTAAATGGTTCTGTAGAAATTATCAGTTTAAAAACCCTCAACTCACACTCTCGTGGTCTTATCTCGGATTATACCCCTAAAGCCCTATGCCTGCTCTCGCTAACCCATAAGTGTTTAGAAAATACTCTTTGAAAACTTAATAAAGTCTAATTCGTTTTAAAGCGCTCTCGCTATATTTAAATCAAATGCCTAACTTTAGCTATCCGGTTAAAACCTCACACTCTCGTGGTCTTGATCCTAACCTATTCTACTTTTCTTACTCTCGTAACAAAAAGATTGATTTTAATTATAAAAAGTCACAGCCAGAAATTAAGTTAATTTGGATTTTAGCTCAGGAACAATTTAATCCATTCAGTTGCTATTATCACATCCCGACTCTAGAAATTTAGCTAGCCATGGTACTTGAAACAGACAGACAGGAAATATAATTGGAAAGAAGTGAAACATTCATGATAAATAAATAACAGTAATTGAACATAAACAAATTGTACTTAAAATTAAATTAAATTAAATGCGATTAAAACCTGAATAATAATACTATTCCTCAATCTCCCTCTTCCACAAGTCGGCAAGATTGGAACCTTCGGAATCGAAACTCGAAATGAAGTCTGAGGCTAAAAACAAATTCTAACTACAATAGCAATTTCCTAATGTTGGAAATGGCTATTAAATGGTAAAAGGGAAATAAAAACAAGAACAACAGGAAAAATGCAAACTGGGAAATGGTTCGTAAATTCGGCAGAGCTTCCGCAAGAAATTTGTGAAAATAAAACTCTGTCCCCAAAATAAAATTCTATATCTTCTTCCTCGAAATCTCTCGTATTTATAGAGGAGAAATTTGACAGTTAAAGAAAACAGGAACATGGACTTTGCATTTCAGTTCTGGAGAAAAACCAGGAAGAATGGGCGTTGGTGAGGTTGAGAGATTGTAGGAGTATCTGAAGACTCCTTTCTTTTCGTTGCCCATGTCTCCTTACGTTCTTCATAAAGTTGAATTAAGCGCGTTACGTTCGTAACAAGTGTGTTACGAGCATTCTTCATGTAATAAGCGTGTTACGGTCGTGACACCAAGATGACGGGCGTAAGACACTTAGCAGCGCGTTACGTTTGTCAGTGATGTGTGACGACCGTCACAACATCAAAAATTGCAGAACTTTGCAGAATTGTTCCTTTTCTTCTGGGTTTTATGTTAACTTTCTTCATATGATCTTTTTCCACTAAATTGACTTGAGACATGTTGTACCTGTGAAAATACATAAAAATTCGGAACAATCGGGAGTTAAATGGATTAATGTAGTATGAAAACAGACTAAAACATAACAATTATACGATATAATTTCTCGTTATCATGTGGCTAATACTTTAGCCGGATGAGAGGAAACCCTCATGTCCGATTTTCAAAGGAGGAGATCCATCTTATTGGATCCTACTGAAAATTTTCTTTTGCTAGGCCCGTAGTTAAAAAATCAACTTTCTTACGATTACGAGGTTCATTCGAATATGAAGTCCAATCTTGGAAATACAAGACCCCACTCTTTTTTGCTACTCGAGGTTTCAATATATTTAGAAATAGAGAAATTTCTAGTGGATCGGGTGCTATATGAGAACAATTAGTTGATCTGGATTTAAGAATGATTATGGATTCTTCGTTGCTAGAATGGACAAAATTAGGAGAAGAGGGGTCCACTAACAATGAAAATGAATGGGAAGATCAAAAAGTTGGAAGAAGAAGGAATTTTTGCGTTCGACGTATGGAATTAGCTAAGCGTTTTATCCAAACAAATATAGAAGCAGAATGGATGGTATTATGTCTCTTACTAGTGCTTCCTCCCGAATTGAGACCAATTAAATATATGGCGGTAAACTAATGAGTTCGGATACTAATGAACTCTATAGAAGATTTATCTATCAGAACAATACTGTTATTGATATATTAACAACAAGTAGATCTACACAGAGGAATTAGTAATGTGTCAAGAAAAATTGGTACAAGAAGCCGTGGATACACTTCTTGATAATGGAATCCGCGGACAACCAATGAGGGACGGTAATAATAAAGTTTACAAATTGTTTTCTGATATAATTGAGGGCAAAGAGGGAAGATTTCGAGAGACTCTTCTGGAAAATGAGTTGATTATTCCGGGCGTTATGTTATTGTCGTAGGTCTATCACTTTTATTACATCGATGTGGATTACCCCGCAAAATAGAAATAGAGCTATTTCAGACGTTTCTAATCAGTGGTTTAATTCGAAACCATTTTGCTTCGAGCATAGGAGTTTCTAAAAGTAAAATCCGGGAAAAAGAACCCATTGTATGGGAAATACTTCAAGAAGTTATGCGGGGGCATCCAGTATTGCTGAATAGAGCGCCTATTTTGCATAGATTAGGAATACAAGCATTTCAACTCATTTTAGTAGAAGGACATGCTATTTGTTTAGATCCATTGGTGTGTAAGGGATTCAATGCAAACTTTGATGGGGATCAAATGGTTATTCATGTGCCTTTATCTTTGGAGGCTCAAGTAGAAGACCGTTTACTTATGTTTTCTCAAACGGATCTCTTGTTTCCGGCTATTAGGGATCCCATTTCTATACCAACTCAAGTATTTGTGCAAACATGTATAATTCGTTTAATTGCCTAAATTCTCAAAATGAAAAAATTAGCAATAATAACTTGAAGTATATGAAAAAAAGAACCCTTTTTTGCAATTCCTATGATGCAATTGGAGCTTATAGACAAAAAAGAATAAATTTCGAAAGTCCTTTTTGGCTCCCGTGGCGAATAGATCAATGCATTATGTCTTCAAGGGAAGTTCCTATTGAAGTTTACTAAGAATCTTTTGGTACCTATTATGATATTTATGGGGATTATTGAGTAATAAGAAGTATAAAAAAAGAAAATTGTTGTATATACATTCGAACCACTATTGGTCATATTTCTTTTTATTGAGAAATCGAAGAAGCTATACAAGGTTTTTCTCGAGCCGATTCATATGGTATCTAATCAAATAAATGGTTAGTGTTGGTATCCATGCTAAGTAAATTTATGATACTGGTATAAATTCAGGTCAACCAACATCTTTTCAATTTTATCCATGAATAAACATAAAGAAAATGAAGTTTTCCAATCATTAACTCAAATCCATTGTCGAACCGAATAACATTGAGTGGAATAGCAGGCCGATCTAGTCTTTCACAATAACGTGATAGGTGGAACAACAACTAAACGACTTATTAGCAGATTAATAGATCATTTCGGAATGGCATATACATCACACATCCTATATCAAGTAAAGACTCTGGGATTCCTTCAAGCTACTGCTACATCTATTTCATTAGGAATTGATTATCTTTTACCAATAAATTCAATAGGGTGGCTAGTCCAAGATTCTTAACAACAAAGTTCCATTTTGGAAAAACATAATCATTATGGAAATGTCCATGCGGTATAAAAATTATTCCAATCCATTGAAATTTGATATGCTACAATCGAATATTTGCGACAACAAATGAATTCCAATTTTAGGATGACCGACCCCTTTAATCCAATCAATATCATGTCTTTTTCAGGAGCTAGAGGAAATGCATCTCAAGTGCACCAATTAGTCGGAATGAGAAGATTAATGTCATATCTGCAAGGACAAATGATTAATTTACCCATTCAAAGCAATTTACGTCAATGTTACTGCTGTAAAGCGGCAAGAAAAAAGTAAGTTATTAATTTACCGGGTGATATTTAGGTTATATTGTATCGTGTCCACAGAGATTGGTTATTGATTCTCCGTTCGAAAAATTATTCGTTAATGAGTTTGGGGATAAATGGGTTGAAAAAATGTATTAACAGAAAATAAATGTATAAAAAGGAAAAAGGATTAGCTTATCAAGCATATGCATATATACTACTTCTAACAGACTAAAACCTATCAACCTGTTATACTCAACCTACAATATTCATCAATGTTACTACGTATCACTCACAACCTAAGTCATTCCTAACCCAAATTGAGAGGCCGACTGCATCACCTCGGTAGAGATATCTCAACCACCTCAACAACACAGAAGCCAACCGTGCTTGCTTGCATCGACGATCTCTCAGAGCGACATAAACAACACAGAGGCATTAAGCTCTGATACCCAAGTAGATGTTAGCTCTAAATCAATCTCTAGAGTTTAGAAACTAATAGATAATCACCCTAGATAAGAATCTAAGTAGTATATGTCTATAACAACTCAAATCCCTAACAAAGAGTAAAAATCCAGGACAACAATCCACAAAGATTCGTAAATCCAGTTTAATATAACGCCAAGGGCGACAAATATACATGAGTTCAAAGAAAATATACATACAAATCCAACCAATAGAGAATACACAAAGAAAAATATAAATGAACCGCAAATCTATTGGGTTGTCTGCACCGATCAAAGAGCAATCCACCTCGGATCATCCGTATGCAAGCTCTATAGTTGTTATCTAAGCTAATCCTAACCAAATTTATAGGTTGATGGAGTTGGGAGCAAAAACTTCCCTAAAACCATCCCTAAAAATGAGCTGAAATAAAAGTTATAAAACAAATCTCAGCAGACCACGCTAAACGGGCATGGCGCGCTAAGCGCGACTTGCTTATTTTACACATCAAACCGACCTAAACCGCACTATCCGCGCTAAGTGAGCTTCAAAACATTGGTTATGCCAAATTTTGAAACGCAAGCAGCGCGCTACAATATGTGTTGAGCGGTACTTGCGCTTAGCAGCCTCTGCGCGCTAAGCGGACTCTCCTGGACAGAATGTCCCAAAACTGGTCTTTTATTCCCAAAATGCGCATCCGGAGCCGTACCTTCGACACCTTATTCCTCAATGCTCTAAAATGCAACAAATACCTACAAAATGAATGGAAAAACATCAAATGGTACACTATATACACAAAAACACAAATAAACACAAACTAAATGCATTAACACAAAAGTTGGGTTTATTCAATGATATTAACAACAAAGAGTCGATAAGTGCAACAAAAAATATATACAAAAATAACTACAATTTTCACTTATCAAACTCTCCCCAACTTGAACTTGTTTGTCCTCAAACAAGGCCAAACAACTCAAAGAACCAAAAGTAATAAACCAAAGAATCATGAATCAACAAGTTTTGAAAATGGAAAACAAATGCAATGGTTTAAATGAAAAATGGTACACACGAAGAAATATACCTTCCACTAAAGTACAATGATAACATAAACATGAGACAAATGCTAAATACAGAAATTATGCCAAACATTCTAAAACAATACTAGCTTACAAATGAATCACACCTAGCAAACACAATCATCGGTAGATGAAAAACACACAAAAATAGGGTATTTTAACTCATCCAACAATCTTGCAAACAATAGACTAAATTATGCATTCATCCAAAAATCACATTGAAAATACAAAGGCAAGAATCTCAAGGGCTTTTCAAGGTTGTAATGTTGCTTGGTTAAAAAATAAGGGATAAGTCCTAAAGCTATTTGAAACATAAACTTGCCTAAACCTAAGAGAGTGATCAATTCACCAAAGTTTCAAATAATAGAATTTCAATCAAACTTCTTCTTCATTCCAAATTCCAAACCAACACACATCACTTATTAACACAATATTATTCCATACTCTTTTTGTTTTTGTTTTTCAAAACTTTTCTATTTTTTTCTTTCTTTTTCTTTTATTTCTTTTTCATTTTTTTCTCTTTCTCAACCTTATAGCACTCATCCAATAAATACACAATCATTTTTCTCCCCAACTTGAATTCAACCATACACTAAAGTGAATACTCCCTACTTTCTAAGGCAAGGTAAAAATTTAACTAAAAATCGTAGTTGAGGGTTCAAGAAAACAAATAATCAACATACATCTAAAAAGATGAACCAAACACTTATAGACAAGCATTTAACAAAAACAACATGGATATCGACAAAAAGGTTCAAAAGGTGTTAACAAAAGTTCACACACTCACAAGGTGAATTGGCTATTTGGCCAAGGTAGTTGTGCTTAAAATGGAACAAAAAATTCCTTGATCATGTTTAAACTTTCATACAATCAACACAAACAAAATATTAAACATAATAAAATCCAGTTAAAATAAGAATTGTGACCTCCAACATATGTGAACAATGGAAAGCTACCTCACAAAAAGGGTAGGAACTAAAGTGATTCACAAATGAACAAGTATACAAAAGAATGAATTGCATAAAAATTGTAAAAAGTCTAAGCATCATGAATATGATAAAGTATAGAAATATATAAAAATATACCTCAAATGTGTGCAAAACTTTAACAAAATCATTACCATGCATTCACAAGTTGAAACACTCAAACTTGGAAAATCACCAAAAGTGACTTCAAGCTATCAAACCAAAATTGAGTCTAAACAACAACAAAATAATTAATTATACTAATATTATTTACTATTTAAAGCCTAGGTGGAAGTTGTAAAAAGGAAAGCCAAGCAAAAAATTAAAAAGAATTCACTGGCTCTACACAGTAGAGCGCGCTAAACGGCCCAGAGCGCGCTACACCAGTTGTAGAAAAATAGGACAACAACTAGTGCAGCTGCTATGCAAGCTCCACAATCACCTTACACACTAAATGTACATAATATTCATAACATATAAACTACCTCAAGCTAAACACGACAAGCTTGCGGAAAACACAAATCTACATAACGAAACAAATGATTGAAAGTGAATTAACAAGTTGAAAAGTGAAAATTTGAGAATTTAAAACAAGTCCAATTTCAACTTTTTAAAACACAAGTCACATATAAAAAAAACGAATACAAATAAAACATGCTTGTTTTACGTCGTAAGCTCGACGCCTTTATTGTGCGAGCTAGTAACCTCCTCTTGTCATGCCATGTTATTGTCACACCATACAAACCTAAAGAAAGTGTCCTAACATTCACACAACAAACGTTACGAAAACGAGACAATTTACAACAATACGTGAAAACAAAGAAAAAACACATATATGCACAAGTATCATATACGAGTTAATGTACAATTTTCGTAAAACATATACATTAATTACAAAACTCAAAAACAAAAGAATTATCACAATGCGAAAACAATAGAACCAATCCCCAGCAACGGCGCTATTTTATTGCTGTTGTAAAGCGGAAAGCAAAAAGTAAGTTACTAATTTACCAGGTGATATTTAGGTTATATCGTATCGTGTGCACAGAGAATGGTTATTGATTCATCGTTCGACAAATTATTTGTTAATGAGTTTCAGGATAAATGGGTTGAAAGAAAATGTATTAACAAAAAATAAATGTATAAAAAGGAAAAAGGAATAACTTATCAAGCATGCATATATACTACTTCTCACAGACTTAAACCTATCGACTTGTTATACTCAACCTACAATATTCATCAATTTCACTATTTATCTGTAATAGAGTAGGGGAACTGACTTGGGTGTTTTGCGTTTGATCGCAATTGTTGCGAATAGCAAGATTCGCCACCGACTTTTCTTTTATCCAATAAAGGAAATGGTGAAAAGAACATGAAAGACCTTTTGAGATTTTTCTTGATTTCGGGGTAGGTTATTAAAAGGAAGGTGTTAGCACCCTTTTCATCCGTAGTTATCTACGGGCTCTTAGTTTCTAGCTCACTTTGAAGTGCTTTGTGAAATTTGTTTGTGATTTGTTTTGAAAGTATTTTGAAAAGTGCCTTTGTTTAGGCGAACCTTGTAATGATTCTCATCTCTATAAGAATGTATACAAAGTGCTGACTTTTGAAAAATATTTCATTGAAAGTGTTGGTGTTTGAAAGATGTTCTAAAATATTTGTGAGCAGGCAACTATGAACATTAAACCTACTCAAAAAGTATTTATTCTTTTCCTCCTCCTTTAAATATTGCTATCTTACTATTGATTGGTAAGAAGCTCTATTATTGGATATGAGGGGACGGGCGTGGGTTATTGTTCAGTCATAGAAGGAACCATTGTAGGATACCTTAACAATTTTT